CACCGTTCAGTCGGCTGCTGCCGTATAGCGGGAAGCCTTTGAGCTGCCTGTGGAACCGTTCCATTTATTGGACTGTGGATGGATATGCAGTGGTGCGCACTGATGTAACTGCTAAAAGCGTCAGTCAACGGTCTTGAATAAGACGGACTCGGAATGACGTCACGGTCATGGGTAAATGGATGCATGGCGCTCCGAATCGGGCGATCCACTTGCTCAACGGAGACTGTTGACCACGGTCTTCTGCCCGATATGTGCCGAATGGGGTAAGCTTCGCGGCCAACGAAGTAAGCCTATCGACTACGAGCGTGAGTACGTAAGAGAGCCTATGTGACGATGGCAAGGTCCGACCAAATCAATTGGATGTAGGCAAAAACGTGCATCAGGTGCAGCCGAAAGTGCCTATGGGCTTATGATGCCCGAGAAGTCTTACGCGTTGCACTGGCAACACGTACGTGCCCATGCTCGCCGACGATCCTTGTTCATGCCCTGGCACATACATACTCAGTGCCTCATGGAGCTTACTGAGTGGCGTTGATGCCAGGATGGCCAAGTCCGTGAAGGAACTCAAAATGGTCCGTCTGTGAGCGCTGGGGATAGGGCTCGCGTGACCCTCTATGACATCACACCGGATGTATCCAGCATGGGAAGCGAAGGCGTTACTTTCTCCAGTTGCAAGGACGACGTATCATGCAGGAGTGATCATTCCGAATCTTTATTCCTGCTGCCCTTTGCAATGTGCTCGAGGTCGGACATCCTGAGATGTATGTAAAGCCATTGTACTGGGATGCGCGCAGGCATCGGACCACAAGCATTACCTGGCCTTTTACATGGCGATGTCGGTCGCTGAACTGCGGAAAATAAAGGTACGAGGTGACGGATTCTCCCGGGGCGAGTGCCTGTCCGCTTTGATGCGAGGCATAGACCGTTGTGCTGGTCTGTGAAAGACCGTAAAAGTCACGACCCTTCCAGGAAATGTCTACAAGCTGCTTGGATAGCCAGGTTATGCGCTAGGAGTCACGCCAAATTGGCTGTAGCTCTGTTTTCATTGTGGCTGGACCGCTTGGAAAAAAAAAGCTATGGCTATCCACTCTCCTTCGCGAACTCCCTGCTGGATAGCGCCCCAACGGCCACGATCAGAGGCATCAACCATGAGGGTTGTTCGGCGGTTCGAGAGGGGGTGTTACTAACATCGTTGCGTTGAGCCAGGGCATGCTTGACCTTGTGGAACGGCAATAGTACACTCCTGCGGAACCAATTTTGTCAACGTGTTGTTGCTCGACCGTGACGTTGCTTTCGGAGCAAGGTTCCGTTAATGGACCGAGCATATCAGCGCAACGGGGATGAAACGTGCGTAAAAAGTTTACATGCTAGGAAGGACGCGCAGCTGGCCTTGAGACCAGAAAAGTGGGCTCTGCGGAAATCCCGGATCGAACACGACCTTCTCGGTAGCGGGTGAACAGCCGACTATCGAGGTGAGTCCGCAGGAGTCGAGCATCTTCCTTGCCGAACTCGCATTTGTGGGATGAGGACCACACCATACCCTGGAAGGCGGAAACAAGTTCCGCAAAATGTTCACTGGTGTGGGTCCGGCTGTGGTCGCTGGCGACGAGGATGTCGTCTATGATGCTATACACAAAGCGGTAAGATCCCTGATACGCCGTCGAAGGAACCTTTGAAAGGTTTGGGCCGCGGGTTCCGCAGGCCAATAGGGCATTCGACGGAAATTTGTATAGACCCAAAGGGGTGTAATGGCTGTCTTGGGCACATCAGCAGGATCGATAGGAATCTGGTGGTATGGCTCTAACCAGGTCGATCTTGAAGAAAACCTTCTTTCCCACAAATGCACTGCAAAAGTCTATGCGAGGTGAGGAATGGGTACCTGTCAGGCACCGTTCCTAGTCTATTGCTTGCGTAGTCGCACACACGGGCGCCAGTCTCCGATTTCTCTGGGACCATATGAAGGGGGATGACCACGGGCTAGTCCGACGCGTTCAACTTAGCCCGAGGTCAAGGCAGTGCTGGAACTCCATTCTTGGCCAACTCGCTGAGCCGGTCGTCAGCAGGCGTTCCGCTTGTCGGCGACGCAAGACAGGCCTTTGGTGACGATACGTTGTGCGTACACACTCGTGTTTGATTGGTGCGTCCTCGCATAGGGACGCGAGTGATTGCCTCCGGGGAAACTTCGTAAGAATCTCCGGTAGGAGTTGTGCCGGTTCATAAATCGGGCTCACAACCGTCAGCCTGGTCGCTGTGAGGAACCGTACCCAGCAATAGACTAGCTAATTTGAGTCGTGGAATCGAGGAGGCGTTGCGCGCGCTAACATCAACACTGTCAAGCCAAGATGGGCAGAAAATCTGCCGCCATATTAACGCATTGTTCGTGTCTGCCAAATACAAAAATCGCAGCGGAATTTGCGTCGCAGTCCAAGGTGAGGGTCAGTGAACGCTCTGCCATATGTCCTAATAGTGGACTTTGTTAGCCGCCTGTAGGGCAAAAATGTTGACACAGACTTGCGCTCACTCCAGTGCTGGAACAAACACTCCACAGTGGCGCCTGTATCGACCAGAAATCTCGTGTTCAGAGCATAGTCCTTGACTACAACAAGCGGACGCAGTCAGAGTCCGCCGGCGCATTGCCGCTCCTACCGGCCGGGATGCGCGTATTTCCGCTCGTCGGACTTCCGTGCGGGAAACTTGCACGCGGCGATATTTCTGCGCTTGGGATCCGAAGCGATTGTGGTTACCAGCACACAGTCACCAACAGGTTGCGCTCGCGCCTGCTGACATGGGATGCGCCCGGAATTCCTCTCCGCCGCGATAGGCCAGGGCGTGATCTCGGCTCTAATCGGCAAGTTGAGCTGCTAATCCGCGGGCAACAAGAGAGTCACTTTCTCTTCTAGGGAGAGCGTTGCCTGTAGAAACACCACAGCCAGCGGCCGCGCGCCTGTGGTACAGGGGCAGGCGCGGCAATTGGATGTGAACATCATGATTCTGCTGCAATGTTTGCCACGTGACATTCCAGGTGCGACTTGCGTCTACGGCAACGGCGAGCACGACACGGACGTTATGGGGTCAGGCCGCTGCAGAACAAGCCTCGCTTGAAGAGCCTTCCTCGAGGTGCCGGTCTCCCTAAGTAGCTGGCGCATGAGGCCGCAGCACTGAGACGGTTTCTTGCCCATCCCAAGTTCCTCCTCGCTTAAAACGGTTGTACCCTCCGTTGTTCGGAGGCGGAGGTCCGCTGAATAAGTTCAGCCTTAAGCGTAGTATTAAGGCTATAGATGGCGGGGCGGAGTGATGTTATGAAGGCGTCGCGTACCGCGACCGCTATTCTGGTTGACAGGGCGAGACGTATGTTGAAAGAACGAGTCTCCTCTACTGGTGAGCCCCGCTAGCGAACACCTGGGCCTCTGCCTGGCCAAACCACACCATACCGGCAGCGCGGCCAGCTTACGGCTGAGCTTCACCGATGACGACAACCAACGGGTGCGTCATGCTACCCAGCTTCAGCTTGCGGGTTGCCGTCCGACCAACCGGGTCATTCGGGTTTTGGGTCGCTGACCATGATAGAAGCCGCTGTGCGATATTGATTTACTAATAACAGTCCCCAACGAATCACGTCGGAGTCAACCAAATGTGGCGATAAGATACTGCGGATATCTCGGGAGTGAGAAGTTCTAGACACTCACTCTCATAGCGTGTCCTCGTTCGCATCCACACACCGTATTTATTTCTTTGTGACCGTTGGGGACAGTAACACAATAAAAAAATCGCTACTCGATAGAAGTTGCGTTTGAAAAGCACTTTATAATAAAGGCTACGACAATTGCGTTACTCGAACGATTGGTAACGACACGACGCAACACTATTCGATATGTATACAGTGAAGTATACACACGGGGAAAATATCGGCTGCCAACAAAAACAAATCCCAAAATGCGTTAAAAGCGTATCACCTTGACTAGGTTTACTCGAACTTAAGAGGCTAGCTAGGCCCTACATGATGTGCCCTAATGCGTAAACAGCGCTAATCGCTTGCTAAACCAGCATAATGATTGGCAGCAGCGATACAAAACCACGGCTAATGTGTGCAATCAAACCACACACACTGGAGTTGCACAACACATTAAATTACAATAGTCTGTACATGTACCGCCAATACTACAAGTAACAAAATAACAACATTGGCATCGACGGAACGGCCTCGACGCGCGAGTTTATAAGTCTCTGCAGACAACGATGCAACGAGGCGATGTCGAAAGTTCGCGGAGCTTGCCAACACGCTGACGATGGCGCATTGCCGAAAGTTCAGGACAGGAGTTGGCCTCGCTCACTGGTCTGTAGTGTAGAGGGCGCGTGAGTGTCGTCGTGAGGCATGTATACGTTCTGAAGCGCTAGCGCAGACGGCCGTGCGATTTCGTCGAATAAGCTCATGGAAAAACATTGTCCTTGTGCTTCGACGAGTGAAACGCATGCTGCAATCGCGTGGTGCTACCACAGCGGAATCGCAATGTTCCCGATCACACACAACAGGCTAGTGTACGTGTATACGGTGTGACATACCGAAAGAACAGTGGCTTAACACAGTCATCTTTGGATCAGCGGGAGATGCCACGCAGAAACAACGTCTGTCGCACACATCACGTAACGACACGGATGTAAGACATTTTTCACTCCCTCAGCTTCGAGTACTCATTTAGCTGCTGACGCAGGCGTTTCGAATGCCCGAATGCATTCCAAAACAGTAATGACTCATCTGTTGCTGGTGAGTCTCACAACATGCCATCACTACCGTGATTGGCTAGCGCGATTACGTAAAAACGATTCTGATTCGCTACTGTGGAATAACACGATTTATATAAATTACATGCAAATTATTTCCGTGACACGTGATAATTATTAATGGTAATGATAAATATTATTATTATTAATTATATTGAACTACTGCTCAATCCAACAACATACAAAACATAAACCTGCTACAACTTAAAAGATACAGTATAGCATCATAGGTCCCGGGTCTAGAGTAGGCCTAGTGTTTGAGGTTTGGGTTCAGAGTTCAGGGTTTGGGGTCAAGGATATGTGGGTCAGGGTCCAGAGTTTGAGGTTTTGCCTCTTCAAGTGGTCCAGCCTCTCAATTTGTACAGAATGACACATATTTTGAAGACATAAATGTGTAATATTTTCAGTATAAATATCCACAAATGCACAAGAAACTTTTTGTTAACTTTTAAAATATTTTTTTTTCTATTGTAGGAGAGAAGAAGCAGATGACCAAATACAAGTAGTGTAGCTATGTTATGACTAGTCAGTAGAAAAGTATGCCTGGAAGAAGGGAACAAGAACAGAGAGCCCTTAAGAGAGCATCAAAATCATGCGTGTCTCTGTCTACATGCTTCAAGAACATGGAGGCTAAAAGGCACAGACCTGGTGGTATATCTGCACTGACTCCAGATGCAGAAGGCCATGCTGAGGAGTCAGTGTTAGAGACAGAGTTGAATACTGCTTCGCAACATGAATCAGAAGCAGAGGCCTCTCCAGATGACCCAGCTAAAAACCAAGGGTTTGAGACAATAATCGAGGCTTCACATGCAGACACCTCGGAAGAGGAGTCATTGTTAGGGACACAACAAGATTCCTTTTCTCAAGAATCAGAAGCAGAGACTTCCACATATACTGCAACATCAGAGATTCCAACAGGTGAGCACCAGGTTGTCGTCACAGAATCAGACTTATCAGATTCAGGGATGTTGATACAAACATCATGCTCTGACAAAACAGACACAGATGATAATATTCGTGCACCACATTCACTGGATCCAGCACTTATAGTAAATGCAACTTTATCAGATCAGGGTAGGATACAATTTCTTCAATGTGGATGGACTGCCCCTTCTGACTTTGTCTTTGTACAAAAAGGAGGCAGGAGATACAAACCTGAGTGGGAAAAGCGGTACAACTGGTTGAGATATTCTGCACATGAAAACAAGATATACTGTGGTCCATGCCTGATATTCGACAATACAAGGTCTGACAAGTTCAGTACAGCTGGATTTGATGATTGGAAAAATGCAATAGGAATCAAGCGCAGTAGTTTTACCATTCATGATCAAAGTAAGACACATATATCTTGCATGAATAAAGCAGTTTCTCTTCTAGAAATAAGTCAAGGAGTAACATCAAGCATCAAACAACACATAAGTCAGGCCTATGCAGATGAAGTCAAACGGAACAGAGAAATAATGGCTTCAATTGTAGATGTCATACTGCAGCTGGGTAGCCGAGGAATTGCATTGCGTGGATCATGGATAAAGTGTCAGGATGGGGAGAAAAGACCATTAACTGGAAGTGAGAACGGATATGAAGATGGCAATTTTAATTCATTTGTTGAATGGAAGAGTCATTTTGATGAAGTACTCATGAACCACTTGCAGCACCATGATGGCAATGCCAAATATCTGTCACCAGAGGTACAGAATCAGCTGATTTTTCACATAGGAGATGAGATTCGAGATAAGATTATAGCAGAAGCCAATCAAGCTGATTTATTTAGCATCATGGCAGACGAATCAGCAGATGCTGCAAATCAGGAGCAAATGTCCCTTTCTGTACGTTATGTTGCGATTGAAGATGGGAAACCAGTGGTCCTGGAAGAACACCTTGGTTTTGTAGAGGTTAATCGGACTGATGCTGAAACTCTGACAAATTGTATGGTGGACAGTTTGGAAAAATGGGGTCTAGATCTTGGTAAATGGAGGGGTAAAGGATTTGATGGTGCTAATAATATGTCAGGAGCCAAAACTGGAGTGCAGGAACGTATAACAAACCGCTTTCCCAAGGCTAAGTATTTTACACACTGTTCAAATCACAGACTGAACCTTGTTGTTGTAGCTACATGTAAAAATGTTCCCAGTATCAGAAACTTCATGGATACTTTCCAACAGATTAGCTTGTTTCTCAATGCAAGCTCCAAGCGGAAAGCAATCATGAAAAGGGTNCGTGTACGTACACACGCACGCACGCACACACGCACGCACGCACGCACGTGTACGTACACACGCACGCACGCACGTGTACGTGCACACGCACGCACGCACACGCACGCACACACGCACGCACGCACGCACGTGTACGTACACACGCACGCACGCACGTGTACGTGCACACGCACGCACGCACGCACGCACGTGTACGTACACACGCACGCACGCATGTGTACGTGTCGCTGCTTTCATGAGTGTTGAACGCAATCATACAACAATATGCTAGGCACGCCTCTCAACAGCCAGCAGCCACGATGGCGTAGTGGATTTACACTGGAATTCATCAACATTTGCGTACGCAGGTGCTACGCTGCGTTGATGAATCGCACCTACGAGCTTTGCGTACGTACTTCGTAGAAACTCGGTGTACGCAATACACTTTACGCAACGTTGATGAATCCGGCCCCTGGTGAGATATTGCTCATGAGTTAGCACACTATCGTAGCCAGATTATGTTCTGACTGGTATATGCAGCGCGCACCTTACATGCACGATCGTCTTCCTATTTTTTTATACAAGTCTACTGATGAAATTTTATCATATAAATCTATGCTAGAATACCTCCACTTTATATTAAACGCATAATTTTTGCAAAATAATATTCTTTTTGGTAGATATTACGCATGCGCGAGCACCGTTACAGGCGTGTAATATGGACAGAATAAAAATTGCATAATATAGCTTGCTGAGAAAGTGAGGGGTGGGAGACTGAGGAAAGAGGGCAGGGAAGATAGCCGAGGGGGTAGAAGAAGAAAGGAGGCCGGGCGATGAACATGGGAGGCAATTGGGAAGGACGCAAAGGGGTAAAGTATGCGTAAATAGTGGAAGATGATGTATTATTAATACCAATATATATAATTACACCATTAATATATATTGTAAGATATTAGCTATTTTTCCTTGGAATGAAAACATAACTACAGGTAGTTATCTGATGATAATTATATCAAATGATTTAGAGTATCTTATTACTATCTGTATTGAGGTGTTGTAGTCCCTAATGTTTACACATTTGTTTCACAGTTTTGTAATTGCTAATATTAACATAATGTTACATTGTATATTCTAATTTGTGTTTGTTAAACATATGGTATAATATCAATTCCATTGTGTCTGCAATTCTAGCTTGTATTATTTATTTTTGTATTTATTGATCAATGCCAAATATCCTACAGTTAAGTTTATGTTAAACAACCCATTTAATTGTTCTAGTTTCTGTATTGCAGTTATACCAATTCTATTCTAAAGCCAATTTTGTTTTGCTTTGTTATTATTTTGAATATTATAATATTAGCATATGTTATGTTTTATTCATTTTTACTTTTATTTCACAGATTCATTTTACATTTGTGTTTTGTGTAATTATTATTCTTTGGTGCCAAACTTGCCACATAGATTTAAGTACAATTTAGTTATCCTTGGAATAATTATACTGGTTTTTGCCTTTCAACAGTTATGTAAAACATTCTAGTTTGTTGTCAGATCAAAAAAGTTTCCGACCCATTTTGAAAGCTTGATGATATTTTTGTCATATTTAACCAGGTTATTCGAAACTTAAGGAAAGTGTCTAAACTCATTAATTTTATATTATGATGCAATATTGACATATAATTATGGCTGGTATTATTTCTCCGGCAGCCGGAGAAGCAGCGGTGAAAACCATCG